GGTTTCAATCCTGTTCTTCTCCCTATAACTATGGGTAAATAGCAGGACAGACCGGGTTCTATAGCCTTGGATGAAAGAAAGATATGACAACCTACTGCGGGAAAAATCTGCCTCGTCAGTCATTTATCGAAAGATACATGATCGCTTAAGCGTGTATTACGCATAGCACATAATTGATGTTTCCTTGTATATGCCGAGTTCGAATTCCAACCGAATCCATTACATTCACTTACGTGTATATACCCTTGGGAAAGGTATGAATCCTCTTCTTCTCCCCCAGCTATTTGTAAATAGCCGTACAGGCCCTGTTCTATAGCCTTGGGTGGAAACTGGTCTACCGTAGAAAGAAATGACAACCTACTGCGGGAAAAAAATCTGCCTCGTCAGTCATGTATCGAAATATACATGATCACCAAAGCGTGTATCTCGTATGGCACATAACTGACTGAACAAAATGAAATGTTTTCCCTTATTTGCTTTTGGGTAGTTAAATTTATCAGCGATTAACGATTCAAATAATTGGTGAATTAAAAATAAATAATTGGAGAAGAAACACTGTTTTGCATTGTAGAATTCGAATGATAATCATTGATATGCAACGCCTTTAGCTAACAAAAAGGGTTCTTTGACTTTCGTTTGAAGCCAATGTCTTTTGTTTCAAATTCCTACCAAAGAATGTTTCAGTTCACTTATGATAAAAAATCAACAAAAATCTAAAGAAGTAATCTAACCTGATATTGCAAACTATCGTATAATAATTGTACTGCCCCTCCCTTTATTAATTCCTTAGTTCGCACTATTACCATTCCGTCCTGCTAATACCTCAAAAAAATATGGACTATTCCGTGTTGTTAATGTGGAAAGACAAAAGACATACTAAGGACGCTACTTCCTTTGAGTGAAACAAAAGAAAGATAGAAAGGAGTGTTTAATGTTTCCTTCTAACACCTCATAAATAATGAACTATTCCGTTTCGATCGCGTGTGAAGGTAAAAGATATACCAAAGAGGCTACTTGGAAAGAAAGAAAGAAAGAAATACTTATTGATTGATTCATTGATTGATTGATTGCCTGCCTGTTTCAGTGAGTTGGGAAAATTTATTAGTTTCAGAACTTTACATATATACATCCTCTTATTTCTTAAAAGAACGACCAATATTCATATTTATGACTGTTATTGCCCTACTTTGTTAAAGTTGTTAGGTTCAAATACTTAATGCGATAGGGGAATTTCTACTGATATTTTTTTTATTGTCATTGAACTCCCCATAAGCTTGTTCAATTATTAAATGAAGAACTAAGATTCATCAGAAATTTAAAATATGAAATTTCAAACCATGAAATTTTTACGGGTTAAAACTAGTGAAAATGATTTACGGTACAATTTCTAATTAAATTAACACAACTAGTATTACTTCGTTTACAACAGTATTGACACCATAAGACTGCAGCTATTAGTATAATATTAATACTATAGTCTAGAGGAATAGTCTTTCTCAAAAGTTTCCTCCTTGCGACACATTCTTGGTGGCAACAAAATTCCAGGCAAACATAAACACAAATAGAAAATTCCATCTAACAGGAAATGGCCAAATTGGCAACAATATGGAGGAGCAAAATCAGCTTTCAAAAGAAGTACAGCTTGTAAAAATCGCTGGTACACACCATTCTCATATATGGATATGAAACATGGACACTGTTGGCAGAAACAGAAAGATCCAAGCGTTTGAAGAAAAATGCATGAGGAAACACATTTGCATCCTCTCTTGGGAACATAAAAAAAATGAGTTTATTCGAAAAAAAAGGGTAGCCAACCAGGTATCACTTCTCGCTACTGTCAAACAGAGAAAAATGGCGTGGTTTGGACACGTTGCAAGGCACGACAGCCTGTGCACGACCATCATGCAAGGCACCTTTCAAAGTGGATGTAGCAGAGAATGCCAAAGAAGAAATGGTTGGACAATATCAAACAATGGACAAGTATGACTATACGAGAATTGCTGATGACTGCCGTTGATAGAACGTTGTCGGGGAGATTCAATATGGCTTCTACATTCGACCCCCCCCCGCATACAAAAGTCAAGGGGGTGATGATGATGCCCGTCAATACAGGAAATAGCAATGACAGCAACTAGACTTGAGAAACTTGCTTTCCTGAGAAATTGTTTTAAAAGAAATACTTCATAAATTTCAACCGTCAGTCGTACTTACCAGTCGGTGAACGATTGCCGTATATTTCCTTATAAGGAAACGGCTATCATTGGCGTCATCATTATCAGATGCTTGTTTCGATAATCTAAAAGAATTTCGGGAAAATATAATGAGTTATAGCTGTCATTGTCTAGACTTCCCTGTACTATTCAAGCCATTAAATAATACAGGGTGACCCCCAAAAATGGGAATTTATGAAGTGTGTATTGCCAGACATGAGCAAGTGGCAACACTGCGAGACAGTGACCTTGAGCAAGTAAACATTTCGCCATTTTAGTAACCATAGATCAGTGGAACGGACAACAGCGTGCGTTAGCCATAAAAATGTTTTATATAAACGGTGATAATTTGACAGCTGCACAGAGGGAGTTCCGACGTTTTTTTTACTTAGAACTTGTTCCATCAAAACACGCGATAAAATGTTGGTTTAATAACTTTGAAGAGACTGGATCTGCCAGAGAGTTCAAGATGAAATTCACAGTATCCCATCTGAGATGTTGCAGCAGTTAATGAGGAATCTCAACAGCAGATTTCAAGAATGCATTCGTACAGGACGACGCCATCTATAGCACGTAATTTTTAAAAAACGAAAATTCCATTATTGTTTCTTAAATGGCATGGTTTAAAGTTTCAGTTACTATGAATAAAATATTTTTCTTTCATCACTCTTGGTTTTATTGGATTGTTAAAATGTTACCATTTTTTGAGGGCCACCCTGTATTTGAAGTTTTCTAATGGATTCCATATGCGTCGCAAAAATGGATAATTCCTGACCTTACCGCAAAACATAATCATTTCTATGAGGAAGTATTTACCAAATTTCTTATTCCCAGAGTTGTGATATAACAAGATTTTAAGACAGCCGTATGTGCATATGGACAAACAACACATTTTGTACACTCCCGCGTCTACTGTCACCCTAGCATCGGTATCTCCTAGCTCTCGCTATATAGAGTTGAAACACTGGTTACAGTACGATCAACGAATTTAATCAACGTCGAGACTAGTCAGTACCCAAACAGGTGACCCCTTGGTAATACCAGCAACTGTAAGTTTGGATGTGCAGGTGGTGTAAGGGATAACGTCTCGGAATTGTTAATCGGAGAGCCGAGTTCCAATCTCAGTTGTGTTCGTTATATTCATTTACGTGTAAATACACTTGCGAAGGTTATGCATCTATAATTTTTACCGACTGCAATGGGTTTTAATTAGTAACGCTTGAATCACGAAATCATTATGGTCCAGCTTCCAAATTCTTACAATATAAAAATATTTTCTGTATTAAATGACCTGCAAAGTGTTGATAAGCCGTAAAAAAAAACGAATCAATCTACCAACTCTCCTTATTGAAATGTGGGAGGTGCTGTCGTTGTTTTGGAATCTCCGGGACAATACCTTCCCCCTCATAAAAGAAACCGAAAGTAGAAACACAGAAGAAAGGGGGAGAAAAACAATCGTTAATTTAAATTACCCACTTACCGGTATGATATGTCGTCGGTTTAAAATGTCTTCTTAGTCATTCACGTGGACTGAAACGAAATTTACCCAGTCTCTGCAACCACTGTCCAGCTAGAGCTGGTATATACCAAAACTCTTTTTTTTTTGCAATGAGGGAAGAGATTTCGCTGTTTTGGATTAAAAGAACGAGGTATTCCTCATTATATCTGGTTTGCTGTCTCCGGTACTTTATGAAAAAAAAAAAAAAAAAAAAAAAAAAGAACGTTTGGTTGTTAAGTCCTTTTCTTCACTCATTCATTCGTTCATTCATTCATGTTCTTTTAAGGAACAAAAAGTTTTCAAAGCTCTCTGATTCGTAAGATATTCTTATTCTCATTCTCTTGCTGGTCATTGCTTCCAGATTTTTTAATTCTTTACCAAAGAAGTGACCACGAATTAATTACTAAAACGTATATCACTAAATTATGATCTCCAAAAAAAAGTCTTACGATGTAAAAATATTTTCTGTTTTTGAATAACCTGAAACGTTTTGATAAGGCGTAAAAAATGAATCAATCTACCAACTCTCCTGATTGCAACGGCGGAGGTACTGCTGCAGGGTTGGAATCTCCGGTACTTTATGAAAAAAAAGAACTTACCGAAAACAGATACGCGGAAGGAGTGGAAAAAAAGAAGAAAGAAAATCCTTCAGTTAAGTTAGCCACTTACCGCTATGGTGATCTACTAAGCGTAACTTAGTTGTGGGACAACGTATAGGACATCCAGTAAGGATCGAACTAAGTCGTAATTAATCTAGTGAGGCCAGTTTGCAAGCCAATACACCACGTCGCAATACCCAACCCACTTTCCGGTATATGTGGTGGGTTTAAAGGTCTGGTTATTTATGGACGTTGGCTGAAACGAAATTTGCACAGTCTCCGCGATCACTGGTGTATACCAATCTCCTTTTTTTCCACTAAGAGCAGAGATGTCGCACATTTGGATCCTCCGAGACGAGGCTTTCCTCCCTATTAGACCGTTAGCTGCTCGAATCAGAGAAGGGAAGTGAAGAACACGTACTACACTTTTATCCCAGTTGGAAGGTATCTATATCACTCTTTTGAAGACCACTTTTGACTTGAAGGAAAAACATTTTCAAACATTTCTGATTCGTAAGATATTGCTATTCTTTTGATGGAATTTGCTTCCAGATTATTTGTTCTTTACCAAAGAAGCGACCATTATTTGATAAAAGAAGATTTGCTTCCAGGTAAAATTTGTAATGTTTTTTACAGAAGATAACTATTTACCCTTGTACTTATCAGAAAAAGAGTTAACGTCGACAGATGTACATGTCTTTATTAAATTATGGTTTATTCTCTCGTAGTTTTAAGGGATACAAGATAACTCTCTCTCTCTTTCTCCCCCCCTCTCTCTCTCTCTTTCCCTGTTTTTTTACTTGTCTTTCTGTCGTTGACATTTATTACTTTTTTCTTTCTCTTTATTTATTTCTCCAATCATTTTCATCTTCGCTTCTTTCTTTCTTGTGTCTTTCGTTCATTTATCGCGCTTATCTCTCGTTTTTTTTTTTTTTTTATATATATATATATTTTTCATTCTTTGGTAGACGTTTTTCATTTTTATTTCTTTTTCTTCGATTTCTGTCTTTTCCACATTCTTTCTTTCTTTCTTTCTTTTATATTTCTAATCATTAGTTTTCGGAAGACGTTTTTTCATTTTTATTTCTTTTTCTTCGATTTCTGTCTTTTCCACATTCTTTCTTTCTTTCTTTCTTTCTTTTATATTTCTAATCATTAGTTTTTGGAGATAGAAGAAAACACACCATCTTATATAAGAAATTTCTCTCCTTTTTATTTCTAATCCCATCATTCGCCTCTATTTCTTTTTTTTTTTTTTTTTTGATCACGTTTGATTTCTTTCTGCAATCATTTTTATTTTCGTTTCTTTTTTCTTTCTTCCTTTGTTTTTTCTTGCTTGTATCCTATTTTTTTCTATCTTTTTCATATTTTTCTTTCTTTCGCTGGCACTTTTCTTTCTTGTACTTCTGTGTTTTTCCTTTTCTTTTTCTTTCTTTCTTTCTAATAATAATAGTTAATTTTCTTTCTTCATATTTTCTCTCTTTCTTTTAATATTTTTCTTTCTTTATCTGATGATCCCTGACTTTTTGTTTTATTTCTTTCCCCTCTTCCCCTATATTCTTTTTGCTTTCGCTTCATTTCTTTCTTTAATCATTTTCTTCTTCATTTCGTTCCTTAGTTGCTGATTTCATTCAGTTTTTTTCTTTTGTCATGTATTTCTCTTTTTACATATTTTCATTCATTCAGCTGTTGCTTTTTCTCACTTTTTCACACTTTTTCTTCTTTTCGTCAACTTCCGCCTTTCGCATTTCTTTCTTTATTTTTCATTCTTTGTATAGTTAATTTTTCTTCTTTCTTTTCTCCTGTTTTTTACTCTCTTTCTTTACATTTCTTCGTTTTTTTTTCTTCTTCAATTTTTTCATATGTCTTTGTTTCCTTCGCTTTTCCGGCATTTTTTTTGTTTCGATTGCTGTCAGATCAGTCTTTTTCTTCTTATTTGTCTTTTTTTAACAATCCTATCTTTCTTCAACTCCCATCTTCTCCGTATTCTTTCTTTCTTTCTTTCTATTTTTCTTTCTTTTTTTCTATCTTTCTTTCGTTCGTTCCTGTTTCTATATCCTTTTTTTTGTACTTTTTAATTTCGTTCTTTTTCCTTTCTCCGAATTCTTTCTTCGACATCTGCTTTCTCCAAATTTTTCTTTCTTTCTTTCTTTCTTTGTTTCTTTTTTTCTTTCTTTCTTTTTTTCTTTCTTTCTTTCTTTCTTGTTGCTGTTTTCTTTTTCTTTCTTTCGTTGGTTCATCTTTCTATTGTATTTTCTTGTATATTTTACTTCCTTTCCTTTTTGTTTCTTCGACTTCTGCTTTCTTTTTATTCTTTTTTCCTATCTTTCTTTCGTTCGTTCGCATTGTGACACTGTAAGTTGAAGAAGTATCTCTAGGTCAAAAACCCTTGCTATGTGTTTGGTAAGACATTGTTTTAACTTTTCCTAAACCAGGTCTTTGAGATTTTGACACTCACAGGACGGAAGGAATCATCAATAACTTCCTAACGAGTTTGTATAAATGGATGGTCTTACGGGGACTTTGAGGAATAGAAAAGAACTACACAGTGGTTAGTGGATCAAAACACAGAATGCAGAACCGTGATTGACAACATCACAAAGAGAGTCAGAAATTAGATTGGTTTGGTTTGTTTTATGGAGTATCTTCGTCAATGGGTTATTTAATGCCGCCAAGAGTTTTACTGCTGGTAATATTTTTTTTTCCAAAAATATATTTCTGGTAATATATTTTCTAAATGTATTGCTGGTAATAATTAAAAAAAATATTGCTGGTAATATTTTTTCAAACATGTATTACTGTTAATAATTTTTCTTCAAAAATTGATTGCTTGTAATATATTTTGAGCAAAAAATATTGCCGGTATTAAAACCTATTTTTACACTTTCATAGGTTTTTTTTAACCCCAGTTTGGGGTTTAACTATTTGCCTTTAACTGGGACCCTAACACTTGTTACCACGCAGGCTCAGGGTGGACCTGAGAACACCAACAATTAAGATGTGATTCCATGCTCCTCAAAACCCCCTGAGCAAAGGCTTTGCTGTCGGATGTAGTTTATCGTCCTAACCAGGATGCGGATGTAGTTTATCATCATTGCCAGGACGGTAGAAAACGACGAAAAGAACAAAAATGTAAGGAAGGTCTCGTCATTGACATGTCACAATTTTTTTATAGCCGATAAAAAGAAATGAGATAATTCGCCTAAAACAGGAAGTAAATTTTTTGGAAACATACTACTTCTAAATGATCATAACTAATAAACCATATAAACCAAATATCTAAATAAATAAATAAACAGCAAATGCTGCCTGTACGTCCGTGTGTCTGAAACCCTTCAAGATCTATTATACGTTTTGAGAACATCCAGCATTGTGATTTTGTGAAAGATTCAAATGTTAAAATAAGTGAAAAAATTTAGTGATTTTAAACGTTTTTAATGTATATTGAGTATAAATAACACAGAATTACTGTGAATTTAAAACATATTCTAAATTCAGTTTAAAAAAATCTTACAAACTTTGTGAAGTGAGGAAATCAATTTATTTATTCAAAATGCTAAGGAATCAGAGTTAATGTGAGAGGATTCCTGGCATGAGATCTGGAAGTTCTGCAGAGTTTGGAATTTGAAAAACTCAACTCAATTAAAGTTCCGCAGAGTTTAGAATTTGAAAAATAAAATAACTCAATTGAAGTTCAACGGAGTTTGTGATTTGGAGGACTCACTTTTCGGCCTGAATTGGAATTTCGGTCCAAATCGAAATTTCATCCCAAATTTGTCTTTTGCCTGGAATTCGACTTATAACCTGAATCAGATATTAAGTGAGGTTTTGAATTTCCATGTAGTGAATTGAAGAATGCAAAGTCATTTCTCCGAAATGCCATGGAAAGTCCAAAGACCAAAGGGAGAGACACAAGCAAAGAGATAAGGAGATGCTGTAAACCATACATCAAAAACATCTGAAACATCAGAAGAGGTACAAATTAGGAGAGATGTAGATGCAGCAAGGAAGCGAAGATCAAGAGCTGCAGAGGATGACGGTCAGACTTTATCAAGGAGAAAAAAATAATTGAAACAAATTAGTGATTTTAAAAGTTTTTAATGTGTGTTGAGTTTAAATAACGCAGAATCACCGTGAATTTAAAAATATTTTAAATTCAATTTAAAAATCTCTTCAAAACTCTGTGAAGTGAGGAAATCCTTCAAATCTACAAATCAACCGTTCGCCCTGTTGTTCATGATGACGGTCGTCTTCGAGTATAGAATCCAGAGGTTAGCAGTGAATATTTCGAAGACAGTAGGAAAGCGTTGTTCAGGTTAGCAGTGGATATTTCGATAAAAGTAGCAGAGCATCGTTCGTCCTTCTGGTTCTCTTCGCCTGACAAACTGGACTGGACATTCGGGTAGAGTGAACAAAAATGGCCGCCTTTATACACGACGGATTGAATGTTCTACGTCTTCTGATTGGTTAACCTTCTATTGGTAGACTATAAAGTAAGTCAAGTCATTTGGATTGGCTCCCTAGTTACATAGATATACACAAAAAAACTGCAACACGCCCTTGCATGGAGTATTGCTGCCATATACGGTCTGGAGATCCGTCTGTTTTAATGTTCTGGATAAAATCCAGAGACGGATATGCAATGTAATTGGCCCTGATCTGGCATCTCGTCTGGAGTCGCGCTCTCAAAGACGTGCCGTCACCTCTCTCTGTCTTTTTTACAAATACTTTCACGGTAATTGCTCCGGTGAGCTGCTTTCCTTGGTTCCCAGACTTCGCGAATTCAAGCGTCCTACGAGGCTGGCATCCCGCTCTCACCCTTTCACAGTTGAAACTGTTCAATGTAGCCGCCTCTTCTACTCAAATAGTTTCTTGTCTCGCACCTCTCGCCTGTGGAACTCCCTTCCCTACTCCTGTTTGCCTGATAGCTTTAATCTCATCTATTCAACTGTAATGTCAATCGACATCTCCAGTTGCATTGATCTATCCACTATCCTTCTCCTCACCCTCTCCTCTATCATTCTTATCTGCTCTCGCTGCAAATCCTCTGTAACCCCTTAGGTGCTAGTGGTTTCCCGCCTTGATAGGGGTGAAAAAAAAAATATTTATTCAAAAGTCTAAGGAATCAGAGTTAATGTGAGAGGTTTCCTGGCATGACGATTTGAAGTTCCGCAGACATTGGAATTTGAAAAACTCTCATTTGAAGTTCCGCAGAGTTTGGAATTTGAAAAACTCAACTCAATTAAAGTTCCGCAGAGTTTGGAATTTGAAAAGTTCAACTCAATTGAAGTTCCGCAGAGTTTGGAATTTGAAAAGTTTAACTCAGTTAAAGTTCTGCAGACACTGAAATTTGAAAAACTCAACTCAATTGAAGTTCCGCAGAGTTTGGAATTTGAAAAACTCAACTCAATTGAAGTTACGCAGAGTTTGGGATTTGAAAAACTTAACTGAATTGAAGTTCCCCAGAGTTTGGAAGAGTTTGGTTAAATTTGATAAAAAAAATCAATAAAGGAAGTGAATTTGAAAACCGTCATTTTAGTTTATTCATTAGGTGATTGGTGCAGAGTTTGGAATAAAAATTGCACCGTCATTTTATATTCATTTGTGATGAAGCCAGGGCTCGATACCTGGCACAGAAAAACTCTGAATCATATTTACCAATGCTCTCAACAACTGCGCGTGCCATACCACCAGAAAACAAAGAGACATTTTTCGACTATTCGTGTACCTTAACAAGTGCTATATGTTATTTTTTGTAACGGATCAAGTCACAGTGATAAAGTGTGACCGAACGCAGAGACCACGTGTCACAAATGCAGAAAAAGAGGCACTTTTCCAAACTATGTAAATAGGTTGATACTTCGCTCACCTCACTTACATGTGGCTACCCACTTGCTACCTCGATTATTAAAACAGGCTACGGTGTACGTAATGATTGGCAAGAATGAGGCTACTGCTCTAATGGACACAGGCAGCTATGGATATATTATTTCGCTCGACTACGCGAAAAGACACCAGATAAAAATAAAACTTGCATTTGGGAATGTGTCCATGCTTTGTCGATCCTTACCGCTTTAATAAAAGGGAATTGCATTGTTATTTTATATTTATTAGGTGATTAGTGTTTGAATGTTACACTTTGTATCCTTCCTAATCTTTGCATTGATGTAATCCTCGGGCAAGACTTCAAGAAGCAGCATACTGGTGTAAATTTTGCATTTGGCGGACCTAAGAAATGTCTGTTTATTTTGAGTTCAACTTCTTGTAGCCTATCATCTTCGATTCAAGATATATCTTCATTATATTGAAATCTCGATCCTAACTACAAACCTATTTCTATGAAGTCTATGGCACTGCGGATAAACACTTCACTGAGGTTAATAAAATGCCAAGAGGAATAATTGAGGAAATCACGTCTCCTTGGCGAGCCCAAATTTAAATTGTTGGTAACGAACGAAATAGAAAGAGATTAGTTGTGGATTATAATGGGATTATTAATAGATTAACTCGACTCAGCATTTACCCTCTATCCCGAATGAAAGATCTGGCTTCGAAAATCTCCGAATATAAATTCTACTTTTGGATTTGAAAAGCTCATATCACCAAGTACCCAAGGGAAAGACAAACCGTACACCATTTTTTAAGATAATGGCAAATTATTCCAGTTTTGTCATATTTCATTTACGGTTACTAATGGGTATCTTGCTTCCAACGCATAATGGACAATATTATTACCAGCAATAACTTGCACGGAACAAACGCTTAGGTAGATAACATAATTGTAGCTGGCAAGACTATAGGGAAGTACAATAAAAATTTCTCGATATTTCTTGCGGTAGCCAAAGTAGATAATGTTACTTTCAACGAAAAAAATGTCCTCTATAAAACCACTTTTATCAATTTACTTGGCAACATTATATAACATAGGACACTTAGACCGTAACCGATTGTGCCCATTTAAAGAACTATCTATCCCTAATGATAATGCTTCCTTTCTCAGAGTCTTTGGTTTGTTTTCTTATTATTCCCAATGGATATCAAAGCTTTCGAATAAGATCAAAAAATTTAATTATAATTAACTCTTTCCCTTTAAATCGCGAGTCCGTGGAAGCATTCCAAAAGATTAAAGAAGAAATCGAAAGAGCTTTACTTCACGTTATTGAAGAAAACGTCCCGAGTAGTCAAGACGAGCGATTCTGGTACGGCAATAGCCGCTGCTTTGAATCAGACCGGCCGTCCAGAGACTTTCTTCTCACGATCACTAACACCGACTGAATAAAAGTACGCCTGGAAAAGGAGGCTTCAGCTATTATACAAGCTGTACAAATGTGGTCTCACTAATTATCTGGTTTTGCCAGATAAGTAGTGAGACATTGCCATAGTTACGGACCAGACTGGTGAAATTCATGCTTATTACTGAGAAACTTGGAAAATTAAAAAAAGTTATGACCCATAGATGGAGAATGGAACCTGGAAGCTACAACGATAAAATTACTTATAGACCAAGGGAGGATATTATATATGATGATACACTCTCAATGGATCATTATGGAACTATCCAAAAAAAGAAAGGTTATATTGTCTCCACGATCGTCTTTTTCATCCTGCTTACTCCACATTGTCAAAGTCAGGAATGTGCCTTACACTATGGAAGATGTAAAACAATATGCACTGATTTCCTCGTTTGGACAAGTTGGAAGCCACGTTTCTAAAAATCTGAAAAAAGTTCGCCTGATAAAAGCTACACAAGCAACAGAAAGAATCAATATAGATTTTAAGAGACCGCTCCCTTCTAACTCGCAGAAACGTTATATGTTAATGGCAAAGACACATGGCACAGTGGATAAAGGCGTTAGTTTGATCCAGTGACAGGACCCAAAGAACGTGAGTTCAATACCTGGTTAAGGCGGTGGAGAACTTGGAGAGGGGAATTAACAGGAGATAACTGATAACTGACATCCATTAGACATGGCACGTGGAACTAGAACAATCTACCCCAGTGAGCGAAATAAAGGGTTCAGTTCGACATTCCAATCACCGGAAGAAGGCCGGAGCATACAACGGCCAAAACGTTGTAATAAATATGGTGACAATGATGAGGACAATAGTCTAAATAATGTAAATAGTGGACAATAGAGGAGTACCCTCTGTTTTATTTTACTTTTGCTTTCCCAAATATGACACATAGTGGTAATTAAATGCTTAACTTAGATTTTAACCGTGTTCGGGACTCGTTCCTTCATCCACTCCGACCACAGTTTCTCGTTTCTATCTAAGGAACCACGTGAGTGTTTCACTGATTTGCTTATAACTACGAGTCGAACAACCACTTACAATCCTGCCAAAGAATGGTCAGTGTGAATGATATTATGTAATTATCTGGAAGCAGGTCACACTGGCCTTAGCTTCGGGAAATCTACGAGAATTTCTGTGGAAAGTTGTTCTAATCGCAGTATTGTATGCCAAAAGACCTCTACCTTGTACCATAACTAAAGTTTCACCCCACGAAAGAATATTTTTATATTAACGCCGGTTACCTAGTGACCATTCTTCGCCAGCCCCTGGTCCGGTTCTCTTACGTCGTAATATCCCTGGTAATAAGTACGAACCTTTAGTTTACAAGGTTCAGGTATTAGAACCCAACTCCCGATGTCCACATGTAAGAGTGATTGACGCGCGTGATTCTACTGTATTTGTACGTGATTTGGCTCCAGTTGGAAACAAATACGATCGGGGAGAACCAAAAATTAGAGAACGATATATTCTTGTTGGAAAGGGCGTTACAGAAATGGAGGAACCTGATTCTCATATCCATTTCTAAAACATTGGGTAAGCCTGAAATACATTTGCCAGTGTCCCACGACTCTGAGAATCAACATTCTACTTTGACTTCCGAAGATTCTGTGACGCTAAGACGGTTTTCGAAGAAATCAAAGAAAACCATTATAATATGCAGAAACTTAAAAAAAGATAAAAGGTGGAGAATGTCATAAGCATTAACTTCCTTCAATTTGGACGCTCCAGAATTATCCACCTTTGGCTGTGTTATATATATATATATATATATATATATATATAATTTAAATAAAAAAAAAGGTAATCTCTTTTACTTAAATTTTGTTAATAAGGATAATATTTGAAGATAATATTAAAGATATCCTCTTTCCCTGTGAGCTATAATCTCCATATATATATAATTTAAATAAAAAAAGTTCCATGTAATAAATTATTTCACCACAGCCCTTTTAAAGGACTTCGGATCATCAGACTTTACTTCCAAAGGTTGAAACAAAAAATGAAAAAAAATTTACACATTTTTGACGGGCCGTATTAAGCATATGTAAATTAACGAAGTGAGGAAGTGAGGGGGAGAAAGAAGGCATGAGTGAGTAATTTATGTAATTTAATATTTCTATTCTTTCATACTTAAAATTACTTGAGGAGGTCCAGACATTGACACATTTAAACGGTTAACTTAACGGAAGTTATATATTGATATAGAAGGGGTGGAGGAGAAAAAAACACATAAAAAGAAAAAGCGAGAAAGAAGTCATGAGAGAGAGTGTCATTAATTTTCTTTGAAAAAAAAAACAGGCTAGAAAAAGACGCTGTCATTTTGTTTTACTTTAAAAGTGTTATTTTGGGGGTTCATAAAGATTATAATGTTTGATATAAATTTGAATGTCCAAACTGTCTACAAAGAATTTAATTTGATGTCTGTTAGGGATTTAAATTTTTTTTATAAAAAATTTAGGGATTTTTTCTGAAATAGTCGATTAGAGAAATATTCACAGAAAGTACATTAAAAGAATAAAAATTTTATTTTAAAATATAAGTTTACTTCTCGTAATCTTTTTTTTATATTTAAAAAAAAAAATTATTACTGATTATTAAGTTGACATCTCTATCCGTTTGAATTTTGTTCATGAATTTAACTCGTGACTGTTTCTAGATAGGTAATCTCTTTTAAATTTTGTTAATAGGGATAATATTTGAAGATAATATTAAAGATATCCTGTTTCCCTGTGAGCTATAATCTCCAGCTATTCAAGTGTAATGTCAATCGACATCTCCAGTTGCCGTGATCTATCCACTACCCTCATCCTTTCTTCTATCACTCCTATCTGATCTTGCTCTAAATTTTCTGTAACCTCTTGCGTCCTAGTGGCTTCCCGCCATGCTTGGGGTGAAATGCTTAAATATATATATATATATATATATAAATATATATATATATATATATATATATATATATTATACACAGACACATAAACATATATATATTCTTTTCTGTTTTTTCAACTCTCCCGTCGTTATCGACGTATTAGGGTGAAGCAGCTCAGTTCCTAGGAACCGACAAAAGCATCTGTGATTTCATTATAGTGGTGACTGTTTTGGGCATCCACACTTTTTGAAGGCCCGAATACAGAGACCTGGTGCACCTGTGCCACAAGTTCCCCAAACAACACCCCCCGCCGCAGATTTTGAATTCAGAGTTGTCCTTCTCTTAGACCACGGATATTAGCACGTAAATGAGTGTAATGGATTAGACTGGAATTCGAACTCTGCTCTCCGATTCCTGAATCCAAGCCATTATCCATTACTCCATCGTGCCTCCCGTATATATATATATATATCCTCTTTTACTTGTATTCTTTGTATTCTTATTTACACTTAGCTTCGTTGGGTGCCATTCTTTTTTTTATTATTAAGGGCTTCGTCAAGGTATTTATTTAGTTCTGTTCCTTATAACAATGATATCAGCTTATGATGAACATTCTGAAACGAATAAAAGCACATATGTCAATGATATTTCGAAATTAAAAGAAAATTAATAAACAAAAACTAATTTTTTGACGATAAAGATCTTTAAATAAAGTGAACGATTTGAAAGATTAGATTTAATCTGTAGAGGTGGAATCGAACCTAAGACGCCCAGTTACAAGACCGGAATGGTCTTGGCGTCACACCCCCATAGAAGTAGACTCGCCCGCTTACACGAGAGGCGAGAGTGGGCTACTTAAACAAGACATTTACGGCAACGAGTATCGAGGCAGATACACGTCGTCTCGCTGCTACCTTACATGGCGTCGCCGATATAGGAAACCTGCTACAAACAACGTTGGAATATGGACGAACAAACACAGCAGACATTACTTCGACAGCTCATCGAGCTACAAAGCAAAGAGATCATCGCCCTGCGAAGAGACGGAGGACAGCCGAGAAAGTCACTTACAAGGAGACCTGACAGACCTAATATAGAACCGGACTCAAGTGATGGTGACTCAAGGATATTCATTGACTCCTGGAATAGATACAAGGAGATGTGTGGGTTGACGGAGCCAACAGCGTTAAGAAACGAGCTGAGAAACGGCCTGTGCCCCAGAAGTGAACAGGCTGTTGTTCGATATGGTAGGAGCAGAAGTACTAAACTCCGTCACGGAGGAAGAGCTGTTACGACACATAAAGCCTGTAGCCGTCGAAGCCTAGTCTGCACAAAAAGTGTACCGGCAAGAATTCCACTCCGTAAGGCAGAAGGAGGGGGAATCGATTACGGACTTCGTGGCACGACTTCGATCAGTCGCAAAATTCTGCGACTTTTCAGTGACTTGTCCGAACGGGATAGGATGCGGTCGGAAAGTCAGCTACCCAACGATATGGTAGCAGGACAAATGGTGGCTGGGCTGGCAAACCTGGAGCATCAAAGCAAGGTGTTGTCTGAGGCTGCGACACTTACGACACTGGAAAAAAGTTCAACAGGCTTGTCAGCCTAGAGACCACGGACAAGTCTACACCCCATCTCCATAGTAACGTATACCCTACTACAACGAGCACACAGAGATCGGGCCGCAGGCAGCGGCCTCCATATTGGGAGAACCAGACCGTATCAACCCCTGAGAGACACTGAACCCTGTAAATGGTGTGGGAAGAGCTCACACCCTGACGGCTCGAATGAACGAAGGGGTTGCCCAGCAGCAAAGATGACTTGTCACAATTGCGGCTTAACCGGACATTTAAAAGGGGTTTGCAGGAAACCGAAGCAGGGTCCAGCAACAAATCTACAGCGGGTGTGGTCGGAGCAGAATCCAGAACTCTCACCACCCAAAGACACAAGAAGGGTCGTAACGGATGATCGTCCAAGATGGACAAGTGAAAAGGAGAGGTGAAATCAACCTGACAAAACCAAAGGCCGTGCCGCACCTGGTTTGGAACAAAAGTAAGTTCCGAAGAGGTACTCCTGATCCAGCACCAACCCTGATGGTAGAGATAACTCTGATTCCAGAGGCCCATGCGGAATTCGGGCACATATCCATAGGACAAGCTGGCCTCCATACTCACCGGATCGAGGCGATCGCAGACACTGGGGCACAGACATGCTCTAGCGGACCAGAAATCCAAAAATTCTGAAGTGTCCAGACAAATGTCTAGTACCGACTAGTCACCGAATCTGGGGAATCACGGATAACCTACTAAACATAAAAGGCGTGATATTCGCTAAAGTCAGAGTAGGATCGTGGGAAACACGTCAGATTATATATGTATCAAAAAATACATCAGATTTCTGCCTGTCCGAGTCGGCCCTAAAAGACCTTGGTCTGGTGCCAGATAACTTTCAGACCCAACTTCCCAGCAGAACGTGGCAACTAGCGACGGCGGAAAAGGCACCATGTGGGTGCCCACAAAGAACTAATGTCCCACCTAAGCCGGACAGGATCCCTTTCGCTCCTATGGAAGAAAACAGACCCCGATTGGAACGATGGATGAAGGAGCATTTTGAGTCCAGTGCATTCAATGTATGCCCACATCAACGGCTGCAGGCGATGGAAGGAAAACCCATGGACATCACGTTCATCCAGGGGGCCAAACCCTCAGCTGTCCACACCCCAATCCCGGTCCCACACCATTGGAAGAAAAGAGTCAAGGAGGACCTCGACCGAGACGTGGCATTGGGCATCATAGAACCTGTACCAGTGGGTACACCTACAACATGGTGCTCCAGAATGGTGGTTGCACCGAAAAAGGACGGGTCACCGAGGCGTACGGTGGACCTACAGAAGCTCAACACCGCTACCCTACGAGAAACCCATCATACACCGTCTCCTTTCAATCAGGCATCGCTGGTGCCTGCGAAAACTAGAAAAACCGTTTTGGATGCATGGAATGGCTATCATAGCCTAACCCTCTCTCCATCGGCAAGAGATGCAACTACCTTCATCACGGAATGGGGTAGATACCGTTATCTTCGGGCACCACAAAGGATTCCAAGCGTCAGGAGACGCATATACACGCAGGTTCGACAATATTACTGTAGATATGCCCAGGAAAACAAGATGTATTGACGATACGATACTATGGGACAACTCTATTGAATCATCATTTTGGCATACTATAGAGTACATAAATAACTGCAGCAAAAAATGGTATCGTATTCAACCCCAGAAATTTCACTTCGCGGAAAAAGAGGTGGAATTTGCCGGATTCTTGATAACAGAAGACGGGATAAAACCCACCAAAAAATGACTGAAACAATACGGAATTTCCCGACACCAAAAAATATAACTGACATAAGATCCTGGTTTGGAATGGTAAACCAGGTAGCCTACGCTTTTTTCTCAGGCCGAGGTAATGGCCCCGTTCCGGGAGCTGCTAAAGACAAAAATCGGAAGTTCTACTGGGACAGCACACTCGATCGAATCTTCGAAGAGTCGAAAAGAAGGATCACAGAAGAAATCGAGAACGGTGTAAGAACCTTCGAAGTGAATAGGCCAACTTGTTTGTCGACGGACTTCAGCAAAACAGGCTTAGGATATTTTCTTTTCCAGAAGCACTGCAACTGTGCCACCGAAGCTGGACCGAAGTGTGGTGAGGACCACTGGAAGTTAATCCTGGCCGGCTCCCGATTCACTAATGACTCAGAGTCCCGATATGCACCAGTGGAAGGAGAAGCATTGGCATTAGTCTACGGACTGGAAGCATGCCGGATGTTCGTTTTGGGGTGCCCAGAGCTGTTAGTCACCGTGGACCATAAGCCCCTGGTGAAGATCTTCTCGGACAAAGCTCTGGAGGACATAAAGAACCCAAGACTGTTTAACTTCAAAGAACGGTCCTTGATGTACAAATTTCGAATAAAGCATCTCCCTGGCAAACTCAATGCGGCACCAGACTGTACATCGAGATGCCCAGTGGCGTTAAGCCAGGAGGAAGCAAACGAAGAGGACACCGCACAAACTATGGATAGCGCCATAAGAGCGTCATTTAACTCCACCTATGAGCAGGACCCTAAATTAAGAGCAATAACATGGGACAGGATTGTGGCTGCAGCTGCTACTGACGAGGAATGCCGTTCCCTCGCCGAATTCATACAAAATGGCTTCCCTAAATCTCGGCACGAACTGCCGGAGACAATTCGCCGGTTTTGGCATATGAAAGAGGAGTTATATTGCTTGGAAGGGGTGACGATAATGGAAAATAAAATCCTCATACCCAGAAAGCTACGTGCGGAGGTACTGGAATCACTCCATTCAGCGCATCAGGGCGTCAATGGAATGTTGGCAAACGCTAGACAGCGGCTGTTTTGGCCAGGACTGGACGCGAGCATTCGTCAAACCCGGGCCCAGTGCAAAGTATGCAACGTAATAGCTCCATCACAACCCAAGGAACCCTAATGCCGCCCTCGAACCCCGAGTTCCCATTTCAGAAGACTGTGACGGACTTCTTCGATTTACGAGGGAAGAACTATCTAGTATATGCAGATAGATACACCGGATGGATAGAAGTCACTCTGATGTCGTCCGGGAATGCCAAGGCTACATGTGACGCCCTACGAAACTGGTTCTGCACGTATGGCGTACCGGAGGAACTTTCAACCGATGGCGGACCACCGTTTGACTCCAGTGAATTTAACCGGTTCCTAGATAATTGGGGCATAAGGAAACGAACATCATCGGCATATTACCCTCAAAGCAACGGGAGAGCAGAACTAGCAGTTAAAACGGCTAAAAGGATACTTGTTGATAGCACGGACAGTTGCGGTCGCCTATGCCATGACCAGGCAGCTAGGTCCCTACTGACTCATCGCAACACCCCGGTACGAGACCTACATATGTCTCCAGCGATGATGCTCTACGGTCGCGTGATAAAGGACCATCTCCCAGTGCTCCAGGACCGATATCGAATCCACAAACGCTGGAGAGAAATCAGTCATTATAGGGAAACAGCGATGGCAAAAAGACACTTAAGGAATGAAAGAGAATACAATCTAAAAAGTCACCCACTTCAGGAACTGAAAATCGGGGAAACGGTGCAGATACAGAACCAAGTTGGTCCATACCCGCGCCGATGGGCAAAGACAGGAAGGGTGGTGGAAACACTGGGTAACCGGCAGTATAATGTACGCATGGATGGGAGTAACCGGGTAACCCGTCGCAATCGCAGATTCCTCCGAAAAATAAACCCAGTAGTAGATACTCCTTGCCACTCGATACCTCAGGTGCCCCCAGGAATGTTGGATACCATAGACAACCCAACAGGGCCCGAAATACCGGGAGAATGGTCCACCACTGATATGGATCAAAACCAGCCCGAAACAATCGACACTCTACCAGAACCGATGGAGGTAGATGACACAGCATCCCCTGGAATGATGGAGGTTGAGGAAGACCAACCGGTGCGTCGTAGCAGAAGGGTGACGCGACCACCCAGGAACCTATCCCCACAGACGTGGGGCACGTCGCACGACTACTCCAGAGCCTCAAAACATTGGACCACAACGCGAGTATCTTGTGGCCCCGGAAGGGAGGGGGCGTGTAGAGGTGGAATCGAACCTAAGACGCCCAGTTACAAGACCGGAATGGTCTTGGCGTCACACCCCCATAGAAGTAGACTCGCCCGCTTACACGAGAGGCGAGAGTGGGCTACTTAAACAAGACATTTACGGCAACGAGTATCGAGGCAGATACACGTCGTCTCGCTGCTACCTTACATAATCTTCCACACGCAGTGACTCTCGTGCACGTTATCTTTCATATAATCTGGAAGTTTAGCAGGCTTTCCTGCAGCGAAAATGACGTGAGATTCGAACTTCATTGGTAGCCTATCCTTTGTTTCTAATCATCACTCTCTAAGATTGACGGCCTGAGTGATGTTCCGATGAGAAACAAATGAAGATTAAGCGGAAAGTAAATATCAAACCTGGTTAATAGTAAATTGCAGCTAATTTTTTCTTGGGAATTTTACTTACTATTATTTTTAAATAAAAAAAAATACTGAAATAAATTTAGGGAAGATTTAATTAAAGGTTCTTGTCATTTTTACACTCGTCTCATTTTTCAGGGATGTAGAAGTAAATTCCGCCAAGTTTAGATAAAGATAACTTAGTTTGACACAAGGTAACTCGGGCCCGATGATTTCCGCCTGTGTAGTACAGTGCATTTTTATCATATCATACCTTCTATCTATCTATCTATCTATCTATCTATCTATCTATGTATCCCAGCCTGTTCATATCTATCTATCTATCGCAGCCTGTTCATATCTATCTATCTATCTATCTATCTATCTATCTATATCTATCTATCTATCTATCATCACAGCCTGTTCATCTATCTATCTATCTATCTATCTATCTATCTATCTATCTATCTACTTTATTTTTTTCGTAGCTCACGTGGTAAACGTAATATATAGACACCGTGCATGCGTCCTGTACAGAAGTGAGTCACTTAATGTAACATGAATCCGCCACCTGAAAATCCTGTACAATAATCAGTAAAGACAGTTTTACACTGACGCCACTCGGACATCGCTAAATACATTCCCTTTGATTATTATTTTAAATAATATAAGAGGGTGAAGGCTTTATCATAACAACCAAAGTTTTTTTTTCAACAATATTCCGTACGTGTATAGTAGAATTACAAATTTAAAATTAAACGAAAATTACTAAAAAAAAATATTACATTAGCTGCTTTATCACTGTTTCTCTCGGGATGGATGGCGACCTTTAACGGAACCCTATGGCTTCTTACCGGTCAATATAGATAGACACGAACAGACTTGGATAGATAGACAGAGAGACATATATGAACTGACTGAGAGTGATAGATAACTTGATACGAAGTGATAGAGATAAAAGATATATATATATATATATATATATATATATATATATATATATATATATATATATATAAACATAAAACATTAGCATATAATTTATATACAAAGAAATAATCACACATAGAATCAATCAGTAATATTAATGGTATTATTGGTGACATCAATCGCTAGTAGTGTATAATGTATGCAATAAAATACTGTTAATCCATAGAGTGACGTGATCCTCATCTATAAAACTGTTGTCTGTTGTTTCCAGTTTATATTTTTTTAAAATGCAAGTACTTTCGAATAATCCTTTATTCATCGTCAGGCATATGTTTTCCTTATAAAATCAAAAACTTGAAGACGAAATAATTGTTTGTCGACCGAAAGATGTTTTTTTTTTTTGTTTTGAATATCTGCTATTATTGACGGTTGTGTAAGATCTCGGAACGTGCAAAGACGCAACGGTAAGTTTTTCAAAATTTTAAGTGAGAATTTTATTTGAACTTTTCTTGTGATGTGGTAAATCCACGTATTCTATTAGTGATCCTCATTTATAAAACTGTTGTCTGTTGTTTCCAGTTTATATTTTTTTTAAATGCAAGTACTTTCGAATAATCCTTTATTCATTGTCAGACAACAGTTTTATAAATGAGGATCACGTCACTCTATGAATTAACAGTATCTTAATGCATACATTATACACTACTAGCGATGGATGTCGCCAATAATACCATTAATATTGCTATGTGTGATTATTTCTTTGTATATAAATTATATGCTGCCTAATGTTTTATGTTTATAAAAAACTATCGATCCGCAGTACAAAAAAATTCCTATAAAAAAATACTACTAAGACATAACACTATATTAATTGAACTATATACTTAGTTCATGACATATTAACTGAAAACACTTGTAAAAATAGAATACGTGGATTTACCACATCACAAGAAAAGTTCAAATAAAATTCTCACTTAAAATTTTGAAAAACTTAGCGTTGCGACTTTGCACGTTCCGAGATCTTACACAACCGTCAATAATAGCAGATATTCAAAAAACATCTTTCGGTCGACAAACAATTATTTCGTCTTCATGTTTTTGATTTTATAAGGAAAAAAACAACACATGCCTGATGATGAATAGAAGACTATTCGTAAGTACTAGCATATTAAGAACACAACAGACATCAATTTTATAGACGAGGATCACTTCAATCTATGGATTAACAGTATTTTAATGCATACATTATACTACTAGCGATGGATGTCGCCAATAATCGCATTAATATTTCTGGTTGATTCTATGTGTTATTATTTCTTTGTATATATATATATATATATATATATATATATATATGTAGCTTCAAACATACTGAGATAGACAGGTAGGAACGGACAGTGATAGATAGATACGAACTGACTGATCTCTCCCCCCTCTCTCTCTGTATATATATATATGTGTGTGTGTGTGTGTGTGTCTGTCTGTCTGTGTATGTGTGTGTGTATAAATATATATAGAGAGAAAGATAAAAATAAACTCAGATATTTACGATCTGACTGATCTCTCTCTTTCTCTTTCTATCTCTCTCTTTCTCTCTCTCTCAATATATATATGTATATGTGTGTGTGAGTATATATATATACATATATATATATATATAGATATATAGATAGATAGATAGATAGGGATGAAATGACAGTGAAAGATAGATACATAAAGGTAATATGGGTAAAGTATCACCATTTCATATTTTTAATTTCGCGCATGCGTGTCGTTTGTTTTTGATTTGTTCGATTGCACTGTATAGTAGAGCCAGCTGGGCACAGTCCGTGAGAAAAAGAGCGCCATGATGCAATTCAATCCGTCTGAAATTTGGAAAGCTCCAATACGATCATTTTAGTGTGTTTGGGCGTCAATCTAATTTCAGTGCAGAGGATTCCGAAAGTGTTGGATGAGTCTAATTGTGGTTCCGAATTGTTGATAAGAGCCTCAGACTCAACGCGGACGACTACATAATGTCCCTTGAAGAAGTAGTTCTGCCCTGGATCAACATTGTGTTATTGGAATGGCATATATCCGGCAACAGAACTATGCAACATGCCACGCCAGCAGGAGTACCAAGAGATGGATGTCAAACAATTTCTGCGACATCAATTCACCCCTTACAACTCTATTGATTATTATGTGTAGGAAGCAGTTAAGTGAGAGACCAAACAAAAATCCTTGTAACACCAAAGCTGAACTGGACGCAAGTATTATGGCTGCATTCACCAACTTAAACAAGGAAACTGTCCGAAGAGTTTGAAATCAATGTCGATTTACTAAAGACATTCACTATTTATTATTTCAAGATATCTTTGTGTAATTTTGGTAAATATATGTTAAAATGAGTGGTCAGTGTTATTTTCTTTTTTGTGTCATTTAGACAATAATTTAACTATCCAACCTTGTATATATATATATATATATATATATATATATATATATATATATAGATAGATAGATAGATAGAAGTTAACTGACTGAGATAGATAGATAGATAGAAGTTAACTGACTGAGATAGATAGATAGAAGTTAACTGACTGAGATAGATAGATAGATAGATAGAAGTTAACTGACTGAGATAGATAGATAGATAGATAGATAGAAGTTAACTGACTGAGATAGATAGATAGATAGATAGATAGATAGAAGTTAACTGACTGAGAGATAGATAGATAGATAGATAGATAGATAGATGTGAACTGAATGAGATAGATAGATAGATAGATAGATAGATAAGGGTAAATCAAGAATTAAAAGAAGTGTCCATTCAACGCTTTTATTCCCACTGATCAACACTCCACTTCGCCCCTCTGCTAGTCTCGTTCAACGAGCTTCATCCCTTCCTAATTTAAGCTTTTTTTTTTTTTATTGATCCCGAAGCCACGTCTTCAGCATAAACTCTGGCATGTACAGGTCCATAGCCTAATCCCGACGATTGCCGTCACTTGTTCTAATGTAATTCGTCGGTCTTCCCTGGCGCGATGCTGATGTGAGACCGCATCTACTTCCCTCTGTCACACTTGTTCTTCACGACTTAAAGCGTCCTGCTCTTTTGTATAACTTTCGTTGATTCATAGCGCGACGATGCCCCCAAATTTAACTCACTTCTTCCCAACGAAAATGCACTAAGGCGCGTTGTTCCTCAATCGAGAAATCGTTAAGCGCAGCGTCTATATGTCCTACCTCGTTACTTCCTACCTCTTGGCAATGGAATGCTGCACGCCACTAACTGGTCGTCATCCCACGTGCCCGCGTGTTGCCGCTTATCAGCGCCTCCCTGTTGTTGTTACTTGTATTTTCACAATTGCATTTATTTTCTGATTTACCCTGATAGATATATACATATATATCCAAACAGGTCTTTGTTAAATTCAAACGAACAATTTTCGCCTGTTTAATATTTTGTTGCAATTTTACAAATTTCGAATAATATTTGGTACATCGGGTTCGAGAGTGTAGATTTATTTTGATTGATTGATTTTTTTTTATGGCTTAGCTGTCTCTTCCAAGTTATTAAAAAATATTATTAGAGCGTAAGAATTGTCTGGATATAAAATGGTTTTCTTCTCTTAATTAACCGATAGCTGGAAGGAGAAGATGTGGGTAGATTCTATTAGCATTATTTATGATCCAGCTTCACTACAATCTTAAGCTGTTCGTCTAGAGCTAACCGTTCCCTACATATCCGCTACACAGTGTCTCTTACTCAGTAACCCTCTACCTCGAGTGGCTATCGGGCTTTTTTCAGGGTGAACATGATCGTAAAAAAAAATGAACAAAAGTTGACACAATTAATTCAATAAAATTAACTAAATAAGTTTCATGACCAACATCCAATATTGACCACGAATATATCGCCATTTTCTCAATGTAGCCTAAACATCGATTTGAGCATGCGCACTCTTCTTACACATCAACCATCGCGCAAACATTGATCCTGTTCTATAGTTAACATTAAGATCTGATAGCAAAAGTTCTTTCTAAGTCAAAAGAAATATAAAAAAAAGTAAAAAGAGGTTTAATTAAACAAGGCAGAATATAAATGAAGGTTCGTTATGGTATAATTCAATTAATTTAAAATAATCTAATTTAAATGTTCACGTCTGTGTTAATTTTAATCAATAATTCCAGTCCTTTCATTGCTTTCAGCCATGTTTTTCAAGTCGTAGTATTTTTTGACCTGTCGACTCTGGTTTTTAAGACGCACACTCGCTCAAACGGCAATGGCGTCCGATTTTATATGACAGCTTATTTACAAATCTCGTGCGACTGATCGCACAAAAATATTGGGCGAAATGTCGTGCTCACAAATGATTTTTGGCGGCAAAAGTTTAACGAAAACGCATGACATTTTAGCCATGTTTCAGACGGCTTACGATGCGCCAAAAGATAATTCAGTTATTTTAACCAAGAAAAAAATAACCTTTAATCATTTCTGCATAAAACATCGACTTCTTGGCGCACGAGGCAAACGAAACTATCTAATGTGGCCGGGAATGTGTGATTTAATTCT